TCAAATAATAATTTGCATTATTAGCTCACCCTGGGAAGCATGAGAGCTATTGAATTCCTCTTGTCCGTCCGTCCGTCCGTCTGTCTGTGTGTTCACGAGTTTTTTGCATCAATTGATGCTAATTAATAATCCCCTTGACCATTATAGAATAAATTAGGCGCACCATTGGTATCGAACAATCCGTGGCGCAAATGGAGCGAATTAATTGTGCAAATGGATCGAGAAAGGACTACAATTTTGGAATAGGTAGCACCGTTCGTATTGAACAGTTGGTTATCCAAGCTGATGCGAAACAATTGGATGAGCATCAATTGATACTCACTAGAATGGATCAGGTCCATTTTTTAATAAATTAATAGCACCGTTGGTATCTAACAATCGGTAACACAAAATGATGCGAAACAATTGGGTTAATTGATGCAAAACGCACCAATGGTACAGAATAGCCGGGAGAATTTATTATATAATTTTGACACAAAGATTATTAAGGGATAAGCAATATTCCTGGGCCCTGCAGCACCAATTTTTTTTGTTGCCACGAGCCGATTTGTAACCATTTAATTTTAATTTTAACTCAACAATGGTGAACTTGACATAGCCCGAGCCGAGCTATTCATATTTCTGTTAATTTCAAAATCTCATGTCTTTTCGTATGGTATTTACCAGTAATATTAATTATTTAAAAAAAACTACAGCATAGATCTCATTTAGTCCTCGTCGGGACCAGAATCCGCTTCTAAATTTTTGAAGTAATTACAAATCTGCCCGCTTCACCTCGCTGCTTTAAAATCTTGAACATCCAAAATTGTATTTAATACGCAGACGTAGTTTTAAAAATTCCTATGGTATGGAGGCTAAAAATTTCTTAGCTGAAAATTACAATTCTTAAAACCAGTATGGGTCACCCTGCTAGGTCCCCACGGCAAAAAAGTCTTTTAATTTACTTGATATTTATTAACCTGGCATATCCCTACAAGATCATGACAAATTTCAGTCTTCTACGACCGTTTGAGAAAACCAGTGGGGGTGACCCTACTGGGTGATTGAAATAGTAATTCGGTCATTACATTAGCTGTATCCATAGTCCGTGATTTGTTCATGATTTCGTCATAATTTGATGGTTTCTCGCATCCATACTCCATAATTTTCAAAAATATTTTTATTCCGATTTTCTGATTGGTCGATTTTATAATCCTTATGGTGATTAAGATGCTGAAATCATGAACCTGTGAAAGCATCACCAAATCACTAACAAATCACGGACTATGGATGCAGCTATTTACAATTTTGTACACATATGTGCATATTAATTGGGAAATGGATGATGGATTTGATTTGAATTTCAGCCCGCACGTGTGAAATTCCATCACGCTTAACCATTTCCCAATCAATATGACCAATGTCTTGAATATCGAACTTTTAGAAAAGAGTCACCCTATGGCCCACTCTGGTTACACCTTGCTCACTTTTAATTGCATACTCTTTCATGAGAAGCAATCTCTTTACCAAATTTCAACTGGATATGACGATTTTTAAAAATCGGTATGGGTCACCCTCACCCCCTCGGGTCCCTCCAGACAAAAAGTTCTCCCATCTCAATCAATATTCTTCTTTTAGGAGCCATTAGTAATCTCTGTACCAAATTTCAGTTTTCTGTGACAATTTTGAACTTTTGGTGATAATACCCGACCCATCCAGACGACCCACACCGGTCAACCAGTTAACTGATTTGCTCATCTTCGAATTTAACTCACTATTTGCCCCATGCTAGATGTGTACCAAATTTCAAGTCGATAGGATAAGGTTAACGGGAGTTATCATAATCCTGATATACAGACAGAAGGACGGACACGACGGTTCCAAAAGTCCTGGCTCGGGCTAATTTTATCATCACGATAATAAAATAAAATTCAAATATGTTACATAGTTACCATAATTTGGTATTTTTGGGTTTGAGTACTGCATATTTTGTCAAAACCTACCCCCTTCGGATGTGATTTTCACATCGATGTGAAATGTGAATGTGTGAATGAATGTGAATGTGTGAATGTGTGAACGTGTGATTACAACATGGAGGATTTCTGAGACATACATAAAAATAAAGACGAAGACGTACGATTTTTTAAAAGAAATTTCACAAATCCTCCATTCTGGCAACATGGTCAAAATTCAGGCCACAAAAACACCTTTGTCCGTTAACAATCTTTTTTGAAATTTTATTTGACCCACCACGGTTAATCTCCAACAGTGGTGCAAAATACTTTGCCATCTTCCTCGTCTTTCTGCACCATTGATGCATAATTGCATAATAATTATTGATCTATTTTATGCTTCATTTTTATGTACCACTGGTGCATAATTGCTTAAAAATTATTGATCTATTTTGTTGAACTACTATAATTTTGCACCCAAGGTGCAAAGGTACCAGGTAATTATATATTACAGGGTGAGCTACTTCTAACGTTACTACGGTTTATTTGGCAATATTTCGCAATAATAATTTTTCCGAAAGCTTGATTGTATTGAATTACATGTGCCGAAATACACAACGTGGATTCAAAATGCCTAGATTTTTACCTAAAATTACATGACTACTTATTTGTTTAGCCTAGAATTCTTATTTTCGGCGTCTATTATAATCAAGTAATTATTATTTCGTAGTAAGTATTTCGCAATAATGATTTTCGCAAAAGTATGCTACACTCTCAATAATTTTTTGATGATATTGTTACCGGCGGAAGTACTATGCAACTCTACCGCTCTGGTAATAATTTATCACCGAAGGGTAACATATATACAGAGGCTAAATCCTGCTCCGCCCCCAATGTCAACGCTAAGGTAATAAAAATATTACCGATACCGGAGACAATTTCTTACCCACAGAAGACAATATGTTACTATAGTGTTACCACGCGGTAGAATTGCATAGTATATCCGCCGGTAACAACATTGTCAAAAAATTATTGAGAGTGTAGTGTTTAATGGAAGATGCCAAAATACATAACGTGGATTCATCCCCATTCATCCGCACATACGTATCTCATTTGAATAACAATTAAAATTTATTATTATGAATTTCTCTCTAATTTTGAAAATAATACAAAATACGGAGTTTCTCTTTGTGATTCTGGTCTAAAATTTGCCCTGGGCGGAGAGAATTCTCTGCACATCAATATTCCACGCTGTTCTGGTTCCTCTCTCGCTTTCACAACTTTCACCACTATCTCTTTTCGCTGGTCGAGTCGAAATGCAAATGCAAATCCATACAAAGTATTTTTCGTGTTGTCGAGGAAGAGAAAATTCGGAACGGGCCACGCTTAGAAGTTTGGGGCGATATTTTGCATGTAGGGTGACGTTTGTGCATAGCATACCTGTTCAAAAATTAAGTTTTCATCATGGATGTATAGGGTTTTCATTCACTTATTCCGATTTCTGATTATTAATACACTATCTATGTTTCTGACTGACGATTTTCATCCGCATTCAAACAAATCCAAATTCATACAAATTAATTTCATTTAACTTCATCCGATTTCATTTCGTACCTTGCCCAATAGGGTAAAAATTAAAAGTGAGGAATTTTTTGATTCACAGTCATTCATCTGAAATGGCCGAATCGTTCAGCCGTTTTCATTCAAACGACAGAAAACTAATTTTCATTCACTATCATTCCGGATCATAATCAGTCAAATGATTGAAAGTGAACAGGTATGGTGGATAGGTGGATGTTACATATTTTGATAAATATTTTGTGATGCGCGCAGGATTTTGTGTCAGATTATTGTTTTCTATGTTATATTTCCCAAAGAGATTACTAAATAACTAACTTTTCGGAATTTTCGGAATCTTCGGTACGGAATTAAGAATTAAGTATATGCTAATTTATTTATATAAGTAGATTCGATGGATGAGCAAAAAGTACAAATTATTTAATTATGTGAGTAATTTAAAGTCCGAAGTTTACCAAACGTAGGAGTTTAGCGACAATATTTAATGAAAGTTAAATATACCTCAATTCATTTTAGATCGGAGTTCGGTGGGATCAATCAGCAGTATAACTACACTTCATTAATTTCTGTTTTTTGCACGCTCGACTTTCTGGGGATGAAAACTATGCCGTTCTTTAGCCCAGATTATACATAAACGAACGCATTTAATAAGCCCAATTAGAATGAGACATATCCATATTTGAAGATAATTAATTAGGTTTCATTTTAACGCCATTTACTTTATTCACGACTTTTTAGGAAACCAATGCAAACTTAGATACTAAATCCCGGTTATTTTATTCGGCTCAGAGAAAAGTGGATAAGCCTCCTAAAGGAGACCTAGAAGGCTTAACTCCATAAGAACGCATAAGCCACATTGAGATCAAAACTGACCAATTCGACGCCAGGGATCCGTTTTCGACCCCTCCCAACTTTCTCACCATATAACCTCTCACTTTTTTTGAGCTTGTGAAACAATCACAAATATAAACTTGTTTCGATTTTGGCGTCCAACCTTTACAATTTACTGCATTTTTGATAAAGTTGAACTCCGAAAACTAAAAAAGTTATAATAAATAATATTTAATTAAAAGAATTTTTTGATTGGATGGCGATGGGTGGGAGGAGTCGAAAACGGATCTCTGTCGTCGCATTGGTCAGTCTGACCCTCAATGTGGCTTATGCGTTCTTATGGAGTTAAACCTATATGAATGTACTATCCCCGTACTTGGGCTTGGCAGCTCATTTGCATAAATCTGCTCGCACAAGTTCTTGTAGCCGTCGCCCGAGGTGGGGACAAGTGAGACTCTATGACTTCCATGAATGTATACATGAAATGAGTAAGATGTTTTAACTACGGAATGCACGTATCAAATACGGTACGCTATTTAGTAAAATGATGACGGATATATGGATATGTATCATATTAAATGCAGATAATTTACAAGAGAAGAGATAAACACATTTATTATTTAGACTTTTTCAGATCACCACCATCAACAATGGAAGCAGATTGCACGTGCCCAGCAAAATTTAATCATTAAAATTATTTAACTAAATGACATTACTGTCAACTATAATTGACCACCATCGCTTTCCATGAGAATGCTGCAAGAATGATAATGGTCACGTAACTGTTTCATTTCTTCTGTCAGCTACATACATCATCAATTAATATTAGGTAATAGATAATTACTAATGTTTTTGTAGTGAATAATGTTGGTGGTGAACTAGTGACTTACATATTGAAATTAGCTATCGAAAAATTCTAAATCCCCGTCTTCACTTTCCAAATCATCAGATTCAGTATAATATTCCGAGTCTGACGAGTCATTTTCACGAATAGGAATAATTATTGGCGTCATTGAGTTCGTTGTAGGCGAATCTAGGAAATTGTCCATCAATCTATCTCTCTCCCACATTTTGTTTTCATATTTTATAGAATGATGGACGCAATTCTTCCACATTTCAGGTGTTATATTTGATACTGCTTTCTTCGACAAGTCATATATTCCGTTCAAATTGTTGCCTGGATTATGTTTTGCGATATATCCCTTGACAATTGCCCAGATTAATTCAATGGGATTGAACTCGCAATGAGCAGGTGGGAGCCAAAGTTTTTTTATATCTTTGTTGCTCTCTTCTGCAAGTTTCTCCACAATAAATTTTGGTTTCACGGGTTTAGATTTTGCCAGTTCGATAAGTGATGATTTGGTAAGTTTATTGAAACTTTCAATTCCGTCGGGCAGCGGAATGTCACGTTGAATAACCCAATCAACTATTTTCTGCTTCAACCAGGCCATGTTCGGCATTAATGTCCCTTCAACCTATAGTAAAATAAGGTTACTGAGATTTTGAAATTGAAACATTCAATTGAATTGAAAACATTGAATTAAAAATGTACCCTTTTGCGGTGGTAAGGAGCTTGATCTAAAACTAAGACCGATTTTGGTGGCACTAGTATCTTTTCAAACCACGTCAAATATCTGACATGGTCCATGTTACCGTGATAATCTTTAACGTCCTTTTTTGAAATAAAAATATCGTCCCCATCCGTCAGAAATCCATCCTCGGATCCTAATAATGACTCTGCCATTTCCAGATTTTACCAGAAATCCTCCTAAATAAAAACGTTTAAATCTACTAACTCTAGTTTGTCTCGAAGACAAACCGCGTTGGGGAAATCGATTTGATGCACATTCAGGTTTGCGGTTATCTTTACAAACTGAACACTGAAGGTGAGAGAGAAACCTTGTGAAATATTTACGTGTCTGGGAACTACCCAGTTCATGCATGGGAAACCCTGACCCTGGGCATTTATTGATATCATAACTATTTATTTAGTTCTATTTATTCAACCCTCATCATATTTGCATATGCATCATCGAATAATATAACTAATGTAATCATACATATATGCATATTTACATAATTATTCATTTCTCATCAATATCTCGCCCACCTGTCAAATCCCGATGTTGGAATTCCCTATCTCTCATTACACAATAACTTACATAAGTAGATCACATTGTCCACCACTTGAACTCCTGTGTATAAAAATCAAGCCCGGATCAGACTAAGTTTACCACTCCTCAATTAACTGACCAGCTTCAATATGAAGATCGCCCTCCTGTCCGTCGCCATCGTCACCATGGCTTCCGGTTTGAAAAAAATTATTTATTTTTCAAAAAATCCATTTCGAAATTACCTACTCGAAAATTTCCAGCCATCACGGCTCCCCCAGATCTCAAGTCGACCAGGTACTTTCCGTCCCACCACCTAATCGTGGGTGGAGTGGAAGCAACGCCATACGAATTCCCGTTCATCGTAGACATGCGGCTCTCCTCATACGGTCATTGGTGCGGCGGATCCATCATTTCGCCAGAATGGGTCATTACGGCTGCGCATTGCACAAAGGATGGGACTCCATCTGACTATACGGTCACGGCGGGGGAGCATAACATATCCTCATTCGGGGTCGAAGGGACAGAGCAGCTAAGACGGGTCATCAGCATAATTCCTCACCCAAGTCATGGCAGGTTAGGAGGTTTCGCACAAATTTGTCACAAATCCCTTATGGCTGAAGCAAGAAAGGTAGATATTTGGAAAATGGTCGTATGGGAAAATTTAAGAATTTATTATACCGCTGAAACGGTGTAAACCAGAGAAGCAAGAACACGTGTGTTTGGTGGGTTATCGATCCACACCCTGAGTGTGACGAGACCTAAACGTTTTGAGCGTTTGTTGGCCAGGACTTAACCCAGCGAGAGACTGGGGGCGTACATTGCGTGGTATGGAGGATAACTAAAAACCCTGCTGATTATGTTTAACACATAATCTGGAAACTTTGAGTACACGTAAAAAACCCAGAACTTTGTTATTGGGAGGCGTAAGAAATTACATAAATAAACTATTCTTAACTCCATAGTATAATATGGAAGGTATAAATATTAATTAACTTCATTAGCGTTAACATTTCCTGGTGATCTTATTCTAAACTTTGTTTGACGTAAGTACCCTCATCGTGCATATATTTGTCCATGCATGAAAATAATGAAACTAAATTTCTAGTCTCTTCATAGTTTTTTTTAATGGTCGTCTTTATTGATTTCCAAATTTTTTTCAATACAAGGGCTACCCACACTTCACATAAGTGAGAAATACGTGTACCCAGGTTCCTAGCAATCAAAAACCTTAAAAGGCTGAATTCAGAATTTTCAAATATGTTAAAAATTCTTAAAAATTTAAAGAAAACCTGAGATTTTGATAACTTTACTAATTTTTATAATTTTTCTAAATTTCTAAAGTGTGGAATTTTTCGAAAAATTCTGAAATTTGAAAAAATACTTTTGGTACATTTTCTCTAAAAATTATGCATAACTGAAGTTATGTAATTATTAAAATCGGTTAACATGCACATTTTTAACTAAAATAAGCCGGAATGGGACGTATGAAAGGATTGAGGTTAGGAAAATAGTGCAAAATTAAGCAAATATGTGAGGAAAATTGCTTATGTCCACATATGTGGGATACGTATATCCACTTGTACTAATCATTAACTAATTTTCTCATTTTCTGTCTAAAAGTAACAATTATAGTACAATCTCACTTTACCCCAACATTGAGATTAATAGTTCAAACCGGACAGATTTACAAAATTCACTTAGCCAATTAGTATTATCATAATAAAAATTCATAATTCCCAAAGACCATTCCGCGTCACGTCGCCCCTTATCCGATGTAGCGCTTTATTATGAGATCCTACCATGAATGAATGCAAAAATCAGAAAACATATGTTTTTTTCGGGTGAAAATATATAACACATTGCAAGATCACCCTGAAAGTAGAAATTATTAGATGGTGTACTTTTACCAACATGGTAAAGACACCCATTTTACTGAGCAGTGGTAGAATTTCTACCAGCTCAGTAGAGTCGTATTTAGTCACTGCCAGGTAATAGGCTCGTAGTAAAATTAGTGAGTGTGGGAAACTTCACATTCATGAGAAATATGCATGTTTCCAGAGAAACAAAGTAGACAGTGGCCTCAGAAGCCATGGGGAAATTGTTCGGCAAGAAATGGTGTGTGACCCATGCCCCATTATTATGGGGGACACAAAAAAAATCACGCAGACATTGTTCCCTTATCCTCCACCTTCTGCGGCCACTGGTCGTATGTAGAGATGGCTCTCAGGTGGTAGAAATCTGTAATGGCGGCATCGTTATTTTAACCAATGAGAGACGAACTTGGTGGTTGAACTTTTATCTCGACTTTGACTTGCTTTGTTATCGACTAATTAACATACACACAAACCCAATTTCATACACACATACACACATAAAAGTAAAATAATAAATCACACACATAAAATCATGGACAACTTCTCACACAAAAATCATGAAATAATGAAATATGGTGATATTGCGATTACAGGTATTGGTACGGGTTTGATTATCGTTACAGTTATGGTTATCGCATTGATCCCCCTGTGAATTCGCATCGATAATACATTCCCTCCAACACAGCTACAAACACACAGATTACACTAACAATTCCCCACATGGTCATAAATCTTTCCAAATTTGACAACGTAACAAACTCTTCAAATTCCTGCGGGTCTTTTTGCTTCTTACTGCTTTCTCTTACGTTACTCCACAAAACCATATTATCCCACATTATGAAAAATCCAGTCTCCCGAAACGAAACATGATGCCTATTAGCTTCCATGAGAAACGGCACACTAAAAAAATTATACGTCATTCTCCTCTGCTCTAAAACAAACCTAGAGCATGGATAATCCACACGTCTGTCAGATTCTTCCTGCAAAAATCTAGCCTTATCAGAATAACTACCCTCCACTATGACACCAACTTGTCTTCTCGTCTTTTTCAAGAAATCAATCACCCCCTCCAAAGTGGGGTATTGCCTGTACACAATTTCTGAAAGTAAAAATGATCTCGCTGGAAGATATTTTTAGACTGATGGTGATTTTTATTAAACAACTTGGTTTTAAGGTTTCGACAGTACATAGGAGACATTCATACATATGTAATAATATGTGGTCAGAAGTGACCATACAAACTACGCAGAGTTATGCTCAAACGAAGTGTCCCTTCTAATGAGGCATAAAAACAAAAGGACCCTTTTAATCCCTTGTCCTGGGAAAAAGGTTGGAAAATGCTCAGCCCTCATAAAAGTCGACAAACTTAAAAATTGATAAATATGGAAAACTTTGTTAACATGCATATTTTAACATCCTCCCTCAATTTTTAAAGTTCAATATCGGCAGTTTCCACTGGATTTGCCCTAACCGAAATTACATTTGGCCGGCTTTTCAGAAAAAGGAAAACACAAAGAGTGGCTTGAGCAACTATTATTAGTATGCAAAGGGTTAAGATCCATTCCATTGTTGACCAGGCTGGTTCATTGCTTGTGTGGTAGTGGATTGACCCTCCTTCGTCAGTGGAACCATTGATCATCAGACTGGTCCAGTTGAAACTAGGCTGCAAGTGCCAGTTGGCTTTCATCGTGAATAGTGGGTCGACTACCTCTTGGTGAACAAGGCTGGATTCAGTTCCTTAAAATTCAATATCATTTATTTTAAAATTAGCATTCATTGGAAGGATGAACACGCTAGCAGGGCATTGTTGCAGCTTCCTCTCAATGGTAATATTGGACCCAGGGCAGTAGATATGATATTCAGTGTTTCTGCTGTTAAAAAACACCTGCACAAAATTAGTGCATAAAAATGTTTTTATGCGTTTAATAACACCCACCAAAAATCCGGAAAAGTGCACAAAATGCACAAAAATGCACAAAAATAATTTAGCTGATTACCATGCAGCAACGCTGAATATTTAAGATAATGGACGAATGCTAAGCTATTTTACGATGTTTTTCAACAATATTAGCACTGTAAAACAATTTTCTAATATTTGGAATTTAAAAATACTTTTCGTAATTTCCGACTTGATAAAATTTTGATTGTTAGAAAATGACAATGCTCAATTATTGTTGAGCGTATATAAAAGTGAAATGTGAAATTAGCGGCATTCTGCCTCGATATTTATTTTTATGCATTTTTGTGCATTTTTGTGCATTTTATGCATTTTTGTGCATTTTATGCATTTTTGTGCATTTTATGCACTATGCATGCACAAAAATAATTTTGTGCGCACAAAAAGAAACACTGATGATATTGTCCATGGTGTAGTTTGATTTGTACAAAATCCCATGGTTCAGCAAGGTTCTTGTCATAACAGTGGTCTATGTCAAAGTGATTGGAGTTCTTTGTTTTCGATGTTGGCGTGCATCCTCGAGTGGGCGAAACAATTAGGTCGGGGGTTGTAGGCTCCTTAACATTGATGGAGTATACGCAGTCATCTTTCGTAGAAAGGATGGCATTATGGGGTCCCTTGTACTTTAGAACGCAGGTTTTATTCTTCCTTTCAACTTTGAGATCGAAGGAGTCTGCCTCGATGAGTTGCAAATCTTTGTTAATTTCAGTTGCTGTGAAGTCCACATACAGCTTGGTTCTGTCATCTGATATTTCGCACTTTTGAGATTGTGCGAAGCTGACTGGGCAAGCATCACCACAGGGTAACGTGAAATTAAAGAAATCCATTAGTGGTGCGTAAACTTTTCCTCGCCGCCACTGTCTTGTTGCTTCTCTAATTATTTCTCTACCTATCATGAGGCGACTGGTAAGGTAGGCAATTGCGAAATTGGTGTCAATGGATTTTCCCTTGAGTTCGTCGTGATCAAGCTGATGTAGCTGAAGCTGTTCTAGTGTAGCATTTAGGCTAACCTTGAGCTTCTCAATCTCTCTTTCCGATATTTCCACGCGACGTTCCAATTCATCCAGCATCTCTCTTTGTTCCGCTACTGTTCCTTGCAAAGCAGAGATTCTTCCAGTTTGAACAAACGAATTGATTGCTCCACCAACTGATAAGCCGGCTACAAGGACAGTCACACCAATTATTACTCCAACTGCAAGTAATGGGAGGACTCTCTTCACTCTTCGTCCAATCTCTCTGTTATGTCGCGAATTAATATGATCGGAGAATTTTCTTTTAGGGCACATTTTTTCTAGCTCATCCAGGAACATTTCGTCGTATATTTTGTTACATTTCTCGGTTGCATAGGCACTTAAATCCTTATGGAGTAGATCCTGTGTTAAAATTTCGCACGGGTTCATGAATTTGACGAGCAAGTGGACTTGGTTATATCCCGTTGTAACTGGGATTGGACTCTTTTTCCATAGTAAAGGGATCGCATTCTGATGTGTCACCCCACAAGCTTGCGTAATAAACATAAGAAGGATGGTGAGAAGGCTCATCAGTGAGAAGTTGGCTTGGAGGGGACCTCTCTTTACTTTAGTTGGGTTGTCCTTGCTCTCCTTTGTCTCATTTCTTTCCATACTGAGATCGTGTCTCATCTTGAAATGCTGGGTCTTCAGTAGTGGCTTAGTTAATCCATCTGCAATTTGTTCACTGGTATGTACATATTCAATTGCCAACTGTCCTGTACTAACTAGCTCTCTTGTGTAGTGGTACCGGACATCGATGTGCTTGGATCTTGAGTGCATCTCTGGATTTTTGACCAATTTTATTGCACTCTGGTTGTCAACATGAATTATTGTTGGGGACTCTTGTGGGAATCCTAATTCTTCTAGAAATCGTCGTAACCAAACGGCTTCACGCGCTCCAGAAGCGAGAGATATATATTCACTTTCCATTGATGACATTGAGACAATGGGTTGCTTTTGGCTTGACCATGAAATAACGCTGTCATTTAGCATGAAGACAAAACCTGTTGTAGATTTTCTATCCATCTTGTCGGAAGCATAATCTGCATCTGTATATCCCCTGAGAATCATATCCTCACACGGTTTGTATTTGATTCCGAGTTCCTCGGTGCCTTTTAAATAG